TCCAACTTCGTTTCACTCTTACTTCTTTTCTTGTAAAGCAGGGTCTCCTGTAGCCCACACTTGCCTGAAGCTCACTTTGTGGCCAAGGATGACCTTGAACTTCGATCCTCTTACTGCCACCTGTCTCCTAAGTGCTGGGATTACAGGTATGCCACCATGACCAGGTTTTGAAGTGCTGAGGATCAAACCCAGGGCTTTGGAAATGATAGGCAAGCATTCTAACCAACTGAGCATGCTCTCTTCCCAACCCAAGTCCTGGAAATTCTGAAAGGCTCAACTTTAATTTATCTTATTCCAGAAAATCTCTTTGGGTCAGAGGCTCTTACTGCAAAACCTTTCTCACTGGACTCTTTGTCTGTTTTTTGCTTCTAGTTACAGAACAAGACAGGAAGAGAGGGGCTGAGGCAAGGACACTAATTGGAAAGCTTCGGTTTAGGCAGAGAGGGTCTGTGCTGAGCGTGGGGACTGGCAGAAGACATGAACTAGGGAAAGAGACCACAATCACAATCAGGTGACCACATTTCTCTTTGGGTCTGTTCCTTCAGACAACACAGAGAGTATCTTTACATGCCATGTGTTCACTTGATGTCTGACTCACCACCTAGTACATAATGGGTGCTCGGTGAATACTTATGCAAATAATTAATAAATTAATGAGGACTTAAAGGCATAGAAAACCAGAGAGAGTGGAGGTGGACAAGGTACTCACAGAGGATAGAGACTGGCCTAAGTAGCTAGCAGAGAGCTTGGCTATGAGGAACACAGTGTGAGGGGTGTGTGTTGAATGCTATTGATACCACCTATCACAGAGAACATTGTGCAGCCCGTATAGCTCCTCTATAAGAAGAAGAGGGCAATGAGTCTGTTGTTCTCAGCATTCACATAAAGATCATGCTGTTTTTATGGCCCAATACTAAGGCCTTACAAGAACAAGGCATGCAGAAAGCATGAAGCAACCGTCTATTACAGTAACTTACACCTTAGTAGTAGCATTCCCTAAGCTCAAAACAAGCAAGACAATTCTCAGAAGCAGGGAAAAATTAATACTTAAACAAGAAGCTAGAGCTAATTAGGTTGTAATGATATATTCACATAAACAAAGAGGAAAATATATTGCAAGGATATAAAATGATATAAAATTAAAATGTCAATGGCAGAAGTGACCCCATGTTGTGATATATTATTTGTGATTTATTAAAGCTTGCCTGAGAATTCAGAAAGCAAAGTCAGTCACAAGCTATAGAAGCCAGGCATACACCTTTAATCACAGAAGCCAGAAGCTAGGAGCTGGTGGTACACACCTTTAATTCTAGGACTCAGGATTAAGAGATAGATGAATCTCTGTGAGTTCAAGGCCACCCAGATCTACACAAGATGGATCCAGTGCTAAAGAGAAACAGCTCACATAAAGATGATCTCAGCACCCGGGATCATTCGCCGTTAATCCCAGCATTAGGGAGGTATATAAGACAAAAGCAAGGTCTTAGTGTCAGGCAATCATTCTCCAGACATATTGAAGATAGGAAGACATTGAATTCTCAAGATTCCCCAGCCATGCTGATGAGAGGAGCCAGTCTGAGGTTTGTTGAAGAGCAAGTGATCAGCCCTTTCAGTCTGAGGTAGAGTGAGAGCTAGTGACCAGATGCTTTGCTTTTCTGATCTTCAGCTTGAAGCTTGAACCCCAGTGTCAGTCTCTGGATCTTTTATTTATTGTGCTACAAGCCCAGAAGAAAACCAGAGTGACAGTCAGAGCAAAGGGTGAGGGCAGAAGGGTTGCTGGAGGCAGGGTCTAGGAAACAACATCTGAGAACACTCTGCAACCCAGGAAGACTCATCACAGATAAATGGCTTGGGTTATGGTGCCCTTTGAGACAACTATCACCATGTGCCCTGCACTGTCACACATTCTCTGAGTGAAAGGCTCTTTCAAAGACCCAATACACTGTTGCTATAAATATCTATACAGATAACTATACAAATGAATGAATGAAAGTGTGCAGTTAATTTATATTTATCTGCAAGGAATTGTTTTTAGAAGAAACATGAGAAAACATTCAAACTCAGATGACCACAATTCTCTTTGGGTCTGCTCATTCTTACATGAGATAAAGGAGCTGCCATACTGAAGTCAAGCATTCAAAGGCACTGATAAACATTTAGAGTACTGTAATAGTGTCCTACAGTGTTATTTAGTGAATCTGCATTGGATGTTTTCAATTTTCAAAAGTTACTGAAAGGACATCTGGAAAGTTATCTTTTACCTAATGCATTAACAACCAACAAATCACATTCATGAGTGATATCGGACTAATGAATTCTATCACCTTCACTCAACTTGTATGCAACACAGAAGAACCACCAGCAAATGTTTCTCTTACAACATATTCTGATTGTTTTATCCAGATAATGTTAACTCTAGCAAAATCCCCTGCCTAGACCAATGCCCAGAGTTCAGCTACATACTCTACACAAGTAAACAAGCCGTCCTTTAAGATCCAAGAACTCGAAAAAGACAAAACAGTTGAAACTTAGCAACACTGAATTTAATGTTTGACAACAGCACCATCCCTCCCTTTCTTAATCTCCAGGGAAACCCTCAGAACTAGCCTCCACATTGTCAACAATAAGGCAGAAAATGGTATTAGTAAGGAAGGCATCATTCTTGGTTCATGAACAGTAAGTGTGCTACAATTATCTGCATATGCTTGAATAAACTATTATCCAGAAAATACACTTTCTCTTTCTACCCTAAAAGAACTAGTCCACATCATTGGATCAGAAAGGTAATCCATAGTCAGCTTTATTTAGACAGCTACATAGGAAGCAAAAGATACTTTTCATATTTTTGAAGAATTCTAGTTCAGTTACCATTGCTTTCTTCATCTTCCTTTCTAGGACAACAGAGGGTAAGAGTCTAAAAACCTAAATACCATCATGGTGTCTCATGTCCTTAACTCCAACACTCAGAAGGCAGAGACAGGTGAATCTCTGTGAGTTCAAGTCCAGTTTGATCTACATAATAAGTCCCAGAACAGCCTGAGCTACATAGTGAGACCTTGTCTCAAAAATTAAAACAAAACTAAAATTCAGTAGTCTTTTAAAGGATTGTTTACACACTAGTAAGTGCTATGCTGATGTTTTTTTTGTTTATGATCTAATAAATAAAGCTTGCCTGAAGATCAGAGTGCAAAAATAGCCACACTAGTTAGCTACAGAGGCCAGGCAGTGGTAGTACACACCTTTAATTCCAGCACCTGGGAGACAAAGGCAGATGGATCTCTGTTATTTAAAGGCCACCCTAGGCTACACAAAATAGATCCAGTGTAAACAGCTCACATAAAGGTGATCCCAGCACTTGGAGTGATACACCTTTAATCCCAGCACTTAGGGAGGTGGAGACAGGAAGGAATATAGTTGAGCAGAGACAGGAATATACATGGGAGGAGACAGCAGCTTATGGTAGTCTGAGGATGCAGTCTGAGCAGTCAGTCTGAGGAAACAGTCTGAGGAGCAGTGCAATTTGAGGCAATCAGTCTGAGGCAGGCAGTCTGAAGACAGGATTGCCCCTTTGATCTGAGCATTGGTGAAGGTAAGAACTTTAGTGGCTGGCTGCTTTGCTTCCAGCTTTCACCTCCTGATAGCTGACTCTGAGTTTTTGTTTTTTTTTTTTTTTTGTTTTATTAATAACAATTAGAATTCATGCTACAAAGTGGTAGTAAGAAAATCCCTTATGATTATAAATATTCTCAGAAGTCCTCATACCACCCAATGTAAGGTTCATCTTCATCCACAAGATGGTGTAGCTATGTACAAGTCATTAGCCCTCCACAGTGGAACAGATATAGGCCCATGCAATGCATGCTATAGAGATTTGTGCATAAGGTCACCTTGGGTATTACCCAAGATAAAGACCTTATCTATGTAGCTCCCAGAATCTCACTTCTCAGCACAGGCAGATGTAAACTGCATCAAAAGATTTAAGGTAGACCTTATACATTGCCTCAACTTGAGTTGATCTGCCTCTCCTTTTCCCTTAACTACAGTTCTCCACAAAATCCCAGTTTCCTACAGAAAGACTTCCCTGACTTCACTGACCTAATCAAACTGGTGTTTAAGTGTCAAGCCAAACTGCCAGCAGCATGAAAACAGAGACAGGCTGATTATAAAGACCTCCTGATGCAGTAACACGGTCCTACATTTTTGTTCAAACACATTTATACATCATCAGGAACTTAGCCAACTAAGATGAGTGTGAAACTTACCACTAAAAAGCTGATAAGCCTATGCCAAACCCTCAGGACCCAGAAACCAGAAGAAGACAATCTCTTCTAAATATGGCCAGCTGTGCTCATTAGCAAATATGCAGAGAAACCAGGCATCCTGAGCTCAGGGATTATTCTAGATTGTAGTTAGTAGAATTTTAATAAAATAACTGTAATGGATGGGGCTGTGGAGATGGCTGATGGGGTGAAGGTAACTGTCACCAAGGCTAACAACCTGAGATTATTTCCTAGGATCCACAGGGGAAGATCACCAACTCTGCAAAGATGTCCTCTGGCCTCTACTGGTGGGTCACAATATGTTCAAACCCCCATACAAATCCATACACATTAAAATAATATACTTGTGATGGCAGTCACTATCGATTGTAAACTTAATCGGGTCTAGAATCGTCTAGGAGTCAATGCTATGGTATGTGGTGAAGTGTTTACAGACTGAGTTAACCCAGGTGGGACACCCAACCTAAGAATAAAGAGAAGTGAGCCAAGCACCAATGTTCTCTCTGCTTCCTGACTGGATACAATGTGACCCACCACCTCATGCTCCTGCCACCATGTGGTCCTCACTGCAAATGTCTGCCCTCAAATGAAAATAGAACAGCCCATCCATCCTTCCTCCATCCATCCTCCCTCCCTCCCTCCCTGCTGCTCAGCCAGTATCTGGCCACAGACACAGGAAAGAACTCCCACAGGAAGGCACTTTAAGGAGTTCTCGGTTACCTGCTCCCACTCCTTATCTTTGGTCTTGCTTCTGAACACTCTAGTGGAAGTGGCGTCCTGAGAAGGGATGGCAGAGATCTGGTGCAGTGGCATGCTCATCCCAGCCTGTGGCCCGGTCTTTCTCCTTACGGAAGTGAGTCTCCTCTAGCAGAGTCATTTTGGGCCATTGACTTCAAGCTGAGAGAAAGGAAAAGAAACAAACTGAGCTAAAATACCTAATTTCCAACAGTAAGACTGGCACTGTGTTAAATTTGAGTGAGTTATGACGGCAAATACTTGATCTTCAAAAGGGATAGAATGGACTGGGAAAAAGCAGAACGTGTTTCTTGTAATAAAATCATGGTATCTGAAGGAAGCTAGGGAATCAGGTCTGTAAATAATCACAGATTAGTCTTGTTATGCACTTAGTTTTAAAGCAACAATGTCTTACTACATTATTTTCCAAGTTAAACCTTTGCTCACAAGCAAGTATTCCTGTGTATATTTTTCTTGTAATAAAATCATGGTATCTGAAGGAAGCTAGAGAATCAGGTCTGTAAATAATCATAGTTTAGTCTTGTTATGCACTTAGTTTTAAAACAATGTCTTACTATATTATTTTCCAAGTTAAACCTTTGCTCATGAGCAAGTATTGCTGTGGATGTGTATGCTTCCCTGAGAATCAAACCAAAGTCTCATGCATCCTGATACAGTAATTTTTCCTTAAGACAACAGCCCTTGGCAGGAGGGCTGCAAGTCTGAAACTAGCCTGAGCTCCATAGTAAGATCCTTTGTAAACCAAAAAAAAAAAAAAAAAAAAATTAAAACAAACATTAGACACACACACACACACACACACACACACACAGCAAAATCACCATTGCTATTCTTGGAGTTGGGTTATAGTTCCATGGTAGAGCTGTCTATATACCTAAGTCCCTGAGTTCAATTTCCAGTCTGAAGCTCTAAATAAGAAAAATAAGGAGGGAGGAGAAAGGAAAATAATCAGTCAGTCTGTCCAATTGACCTCAAATTCATATAATGGCAAGATTGCTGAAATTCAAAGTATCTCTGGTTCATGCATAACCTTCCAAAAGTCTAGACTCTCCAAATCAGCTGTTGGCCAACTTTTCCTATGAAGAGCAAGATAAATATGTCAAGCATTTAGACAAAATTTGTTCTAGTTACTTAACTCCACTGTGTAGTGTGAAAACAACCATTAACAATGGGTAAATAAATAGGAATGGTTACATGTCATAGTCTAGATACAGTTTGCACCCTAAAGTTCACTGGCCTCAGTCTGGTACCCAGTGTAACATGAATTAGTTCTTAACACTTTGAAAAGCTATGGGCTAGGTCTTGAGGACAGATAAGGGTTTTTGCCGAAGGATAAATTCATCTCATGAGAGAGCTCAGTGACAGCTGTTGCAAAGCCTCCAGCTCTGCTTCCTCTCCCCACTATTTCCCTTTCCAACCCTGTGATGGCATCTAGCCTGTTACAATACAGCAAGAGGCCCTCACCAGAAACCAGTGCTAATGTCCTATTCATGGATCTCCAGAACTATGACCTAATTAAACCAGATATATCCCAATATTGGGTATATTTTGTTATGATCAAATAAACAGGTACTGTATATCAATAGAAATGTATTTGAAAAAAAACAGGTGGCAGAATAAATTTGGCCCATGACTTATTTCAGTAGCAGTTCCTCAGGGAGGATGTAGGTCATCAGGGACATTCCTGAGACCCTGAGAAGGCTGCCTTTATGTAAAGTAACAATGTCTATATAAGCTATCTTATGTGACCAAGTACACTTGCTTCCTTTCATATACTCTCTCTCATTGCTAGTAATCAAATCATGTGTTCTTTCCATCCCATTCTCTTTCCTATACACACTATCCATGTTTACAATAGTGATGTTTCATAATGCTGTTCGAATGTTAACAGAACAGAGCATGAAACCAAAAGAATATGTCTCTAATTTGGGGGCCTTCACTTATAAGCAAAGTGTAATGAATGTGATGGTGAGCAGGGTAAACAACTGACCCAGAGCACCCTAAGGTCACATTTGAGAAACATCTGTTCCTCCTCTCTTGGAACTCTGCTTCGGAACAACACTGTCTATGGGCCTGGTCTCAACTCTGACAGTCTCCCTGACCAGGCAGGGGATCAACAGGACTCACACATGGATTCCTGCACACAGATAAAATCATAAAGCAACAGGAAGGAAGGGAGAACAGCTACAGACCAACACGCAAATGAAAATGAAGTACAAGAATATTATTTTAGAGTCCTGTTTTATAATAGGCAAATGATGACTGAGAATAAAATTTAAGAAAATAGAGATGACAATGTCTACCCATTACACATCCCCTCCTCTTCTTCAGGCTCTGATGAAGATGGTAGAGGAAATATTGTCCCTACAAATGTTCTGCATGTTTATACCCAAACAGGTTATCCCATGCAAGAGGCACACACTTACTGCTGAGTTGCTTACACTCTGGAATATTACAAGAGTAGTGAGCACCGTCTTCATCACTAATGCATTAAAGTCTTCTGTCAAAGATGATGGATTCCATGTGGTTCTTGGAACAGGTAGTCAAACTAGCCATGTCCAACACCTTACTACCTATCATGCCAACAGCTACCTGTGGTGCTTCTGATATAATCACCATTATTACATCATTGGTACTTGCCCATGACAAGCTTAAGAAAGACTATTTATGCCAAAGAGAAACCAAGAAGAGTCACAATGTTAGCAGCTTTGAAGGGTCCCCTTCCTTTCAGCTTATAGTCACTCCAGCTGTTTTTCTGACATGTGCCCACCTCCAGGAAACAGACCTGGAAGTTTGCCAGAAGCAACAAACAATGCCACTATGTACATGAAGGTTTATACGAAAGAAGGCATAAGACAGGTATCCATTTTATATTAATTTTATATTAATCCATTTTTAATGAAGAACAGTTAGACTTGGCACTGTGCCTGGTCATCTAATGAGGACTTCAATTTCACTAACATAAATCAAAGCCAGCTGAAATGAACATCTATAGAGGAACTAGATTCCTAAGGTTTGATCGAGTCAGGAAGAAATGCCGAGTTCATGATCAGGAGAGTTCACATTGTTAAGATTATAACTCTGACAGGTTGGGATGTAGCCCAGTAGTAGAATGCTTGTGTAGCATTAGCAAGGTAATGTGTTGGGGGGGGGGAATCTTCAAACTGATCTAAAGAATCAAAGTAATCCCTATCAAAATCTGAGCTGCTTGCTATTTGGCACAGACTTGACAAAATGATCCCAAAATGAAAATGGAAATTCAAGGGACTCAGACCCACCAAAAGAGGCCTGAAGAGCAAAGCTGGAGGATTCATATTTCCCAATTTCAAAACTTACTCCAAATGCTCAGTAATCAAGGAAGATTTATCCACATAGATACATATAGAGAACTGAAGTGAAGAGTTGAGAAATAAATTCATCTACCTATAATCAAATAACTTTCCACAGAATAACAACACAATTCCATAGGGAAAGAACACACTTCTCAATGAATGCCAGGACAGCTAAACTGCCTCGTGCAAATAAATAAATAAATCTGGATCCCTTCTCCACACTAAGAAATAAAAGAAAAACTAGAAATCAACAAAATAATTTTTATGTGCATTTTTCAAAACCCACCATGACAAAGTGAAAAGAGAAGCTGAATGTGTGGCTCAACAGGGCTGTGCCTGCATAGCATGTTCAAGGCCCCGGGTTTGACATCTACCATTTACACATACACATGTAGAATATAATTTTAAGGTGTGTTATATTTGTTTATGCCCCGGAATATTGTTTAATGATGTAAATATGTGACTCTTTGTTTATGCTGCATGTAAAGCTATGATTATTTGCCTGTCTAAAACACCTGATGGTCTAATAAAGAGCTGAACGGCCAATCGCAAGGCAGGAGCAAGGATGGGAAGGACTGGCAGGCAGAGACTATAAATAGAAGGAGAAAGGAGGAGGAGAAACAATGAAGATGCAAAGGGAGGATGACACCTGGGGCCAGCCACAAAAGTGAGAGTAAGAGAAGGGAAAGGCCCTGAGGCAAAAGGCAGTTACTGTAATTTAGGTTTAGAAAAGCTGGTAAGAAATAAGCCAAGCTAAGGCTGGGCACTCATAAGTAATAAGTCTCCATGTTTGATTCATTTGGGAGCTGTGTGGCAGGCCCCCCTAAGAACAAAAAAAAGCCAAAGAGTAAACAGTAATAAAACCAACAACAGAGAGAGAGAGACAGGGGAGGGGGTGGTCCTGAACCCCAGAACTCAGAAGGGAAGCAGGGGATCATAAGTTCACGGTCAGCACGTGCTATACACAGTAAGACCTTTTCTCTAAGAAACAAAACAGAGAGGGGGAAAGGAGGGAGTGAGGGAAGGAGGGACAACAAAATAGATGAAAATGTTTGCCAATGGTACAACTAGCAAGGACCCTGTTTCTAGAATACACACACTTCTCACAATGCAACGACAAAAAAGGCAAGTACCCAATAAGAAAAAGCTACTCAAAAATCATCAGCCCCCAGGGAAGTGCACAACAAAGCCATAAGGCACCATTCATGCTCCTAACTGAAGATACATGGACAAGTGTTGATAAGGACATGGTGAAACTATCCCTTTTGTACACTAGTGGTGGGGATGTTATAGGCTACTTTGAAAAAAAATCTACTTCTCCCTCAAGATAATACACAAGTTACCATATGGTCCAGCAATTTAACTTCTAGAACACACATGTCCAAAACAAATTAAAATATCTGCCCTATTCATGAACACTGCCCCTAATTTTATTCATGAATATTCATAGTACATTATCTAACAGCATAAAGTAGAACCAAACCAAAACTATATCAACTTGTAAGTAAATATAGTATAAATCCATTCACCTGAACAATATTCATCAACAAAAAAGTATAAACTTTGAAAAAATATTAAGTGAAAGAAGCCAGTTATAAAGGACCATCAAATATTTGGTAACATTTGTTTGAAACATACAGAGTAGATAAAACTACATAGACAAAAGTACACAGCTGAGTGTCATGGTGAAAATGGGTAAAACACAAGGGGGTGACTGCTTAACATAACAGGACTTCCTTTTAGAGTGATGACCATGACCTAAGTGTCTATGGTGATGCCACACAATGCATGCGCAATGAAAACTTTAGAACTGCATCCATTTAAGTCAGTGAGTTGTAATGCATATAAACCATCTCAATAAATCTATTTTTATGGATGTAACTGAGTTAAGAACATTCTGAATTTTTCCTTTGTGCTACATCTAGTTAGTTTTTCCAGAAGGCCTGGAGATAGACACTGCTCTCTTAACCCTCCCACCTCTAAGTACAACAAGGGAAAGGGTACAAAAGTAGCAATGAGAAATCAAAGGTCAAGCCTGCCACCAACTGTGTGAAGTTAGGAAAATGTTGAACTTCTAAACTGCTATTTCCTGTCTATAAAAGATAAAGGTAATAACCTCTTAACAGTTTAAAATGTTAATATGAAGATCAAATAACTGTTTCCATGTGCACACACACAGGGTTCTATGCAGTACATTTACCAGCTTTCCTACCTGTTGGCACACTGGGTCTTTCTATCACTGGTTTATGTCCTATATACAGAAGTTTCTGTCCCACCCAGTCCTGCAGCCATTTAGTCCCAAATAAACACAGAGGGGCTTATATTAACAATAAATTGTTTGGTCTATTGCTCAGGCTTCTTACTGGCTAGCTCTATTAATTATTAACCCATTTCTATTAATCTGTGTATCTCCATGTGATCTTGGTTTACCAGTGATGCCCAGGTCTCTTGCTTCCTTAGCAGCCACATGGCATCTCTCCTCCAAATCCACCTACTACCTTTCTCTACCCTTTTGGATTTCCTACCTGGCTAAATCCTGCCTGTCCACTGGCCAACACAGCTTTATTCATCAACCAATAAGAGAAACATATCCACAACATACGGAAAGACATCCTCCATCAATGTCCCTTTCTTCTTCAGTTCAAGATTTATAAACATGGGCCCTCCAATCCTTCTGACATCTATTTATGACCTCTCGACAGAAAAGCAAAAACAATAATACCTGGCATATAGTACCAGTAAAAAAGGTCTGATCAGGAAAACACCCAACATAGCTTAAAATCTAACTATTCTATGTACTTTACAAAAAGACAAGATAAACACAAGATTCTGCTCATTAGAACAACAATGCTGTGAACAAATAAAAATAACAACATGGAAGTCACCCCAAGAAGGGTCCACCTGTCTCCATTCACCCTTGTCTCAAAGTACCAGATTCCATCCCCTCTATTCTAAGAATCAAGAAAGAGTTGCACATAAGAACCAAGAGTCCAAGTGCAGGGTTATTAAACTTCACATGCCTACAAGAAACCCGAGGTATGTTCACAATGCAGACTGAGGATCACCAGCAAGTTCATGATATGGAACACATATGTATAAGTTTGTCTCCTAAGACACATCTGTAGAATCAGTCATTCATGTTATCAAGTACTGCATACAAAAATAGAACTCACCATCAACATAAAGCCTTAAAAACTTAAAAAGCAGCAATAGAAAAATCCTTTAAAAAATGTACCTATCCAAAAAAAAAAAAAAAAAAAAAAAAAAAAACCTAACATATACAGCAAAGCATGTATTTTAACTACTAAAAAAGGAGTTTTCTAAGAATTACTGATGCCAGTTTAAGGACATACACATCCATACAAAACTTAGTAGTGTAGGCTGGGTTGAAAGTAATGCAACTCAGTTGGTAAGCTTGCACAGCACACATAAAGCCACGGGTTCCTCTCCAGTAGCATATAAACCAGTTATAGTGGTGCATGCCTAAAATCCCAGGATTCAGGAGGTGGACACAGGAGAATCAGAACCTCAAGTTTATCCTTGGCTACACAATAACTCTGAGGTCAGCCAAAGATACATGTAAAAATAAAAATCAGTAATCTATTCTACTATAAAATATGTATACATGAAAGTTACCAGGCTTGTACACCAACAAAACAAAGACAGACAATGTCAAAGTAAATTAAGAATTTTCAATATGGATTATATTTGATTATTGAAATATAATAAAGTATGCTCCCAGTTAAAACACATATTAAATGTAACCCAATCAAAGTCTACAACAGACTTCACATGAAAAAATGATCATAAAATCATACAAAAAAAATAAGATAACTAAATGAAAATGTTGGGAAAAAAAAGTAAAAGGATGTATTCTATAAAATATTTAAATATTATAAGACAATTATAATAAGACAAATGAATAGCAACAAGATTTTTAAAAGCCCAGAGACTGAACCGTACAGAAGAGTGTATTAGCCAACATAAGTAGCAAGGCCCATGCTACTCAATTACTGGAGTTGGGACAGCTTGATAATCCAGAAGGGAAAACATTTAAATCAGTTCTCATACACTTTATTCTGGTATGAGCTAGTGAGATGACTCTGTGGGTTCAGGTACTTGCTGCCAAGCTCAACAGCCTGAGTTCAATCCCAGAACTTCTATGATTAAAGAAGAGAAGCCACTACCACAAGCTGTCCTCTGACACACGTCCACATGTCCAGCTCTCCCAAGCAAATAAATACATGT